TAACAAAAGGAAGATAAACAACCCAATAAAAAAATGGGCAATGGATCTAAATAGATACTTTTCAAAAGAGGACATAAAGAAGGCCAGCTAGCCTTTGATGTGCATTAGGGGGCAAGAAAAAGCTCAGACTTCCTTAAATAGCTGTGAATAATTTAAACTTTTAAGGTATTTAAAATCTTTTTGTGTATATCTTGTATTCTGATGACCAGGCCTCTGAAAAAAAGTAGCTAGAAAGAAAGTCGGCACAAGAGAAGTATTGAAAATTGCTTCAGGGCAGTGACTTTGTTCTTTCAGGCTAGTGCAGGACTGCTGTAGGATCCCAGTGAGTATTTGTTGAAGGAATGAAAGTAGATGTATTAATCCAGGTTCGGCCAGAGCAGCGGACCCAGTAGGAGCTGCATCTGTATGTATATTAAAGAATTGATTACGGGGAATTGGCTACACTGGTGGTGACTCGCTAATTCCCCAGGATTGTCAGGAAGGCAAGATCACCAGAAAGCTGAAACTGCAGGGTATGAGCTGAACTTTGAGAGGGCCCCCACCCACTTTGAAAAAGTATCCAATGTATTTAGACCACCCAGGATAATCTCCATTTTGATTAACTTAGGGTCAACTGATTAGGGACTGTAATTACTTTGGTAATATTCTTTCACAGCAGCACAGGTCGATTGTATCAGTAGAAGGTGTGTGTATGCTACAAATAGCTGCAGCCTCCCTTCCGTCCTCCATCCCTGGCAAGAGGAAACTCTTGTAGCTCACCCTGTCTGGCAACATACTAGGAAGGGAATTCGGAGAATGTAGTTCAGCCTAGCCAAGTGGACACAGCAGAAAGCCATCGCTATAGATAAAGCCTGATTTAGGATCATTTGTATTCTTAATTATTTTCATTTTTAGAGGGTGTTTTGTTTTTATTATGATTATTTGGGTTTTTTTCTTATATCATTTTAACAAATGATAGACACAATATGATCATGCATGGTATAAGATGACTTTGAAATTACTTTGGATTCTAACATTTAAACTAGTCTTGGGTGTCCACTGACTTAGGAGGCCATACATAGCTCAATAAGCAGAAAAAACAAAATAGTTATCACATTTTTCTGTGTATAAGATGCTATTTTTTTCTAACATCGTTAGACTGGAAATCGAGGGGCATCTTATACACAGAAGTCAGCCAAGGAGGGAGCTGCATGGGTGCGTAGCTGCCCATACCTTGTCCATCAGGCTTCCTCTAACCACGAGCCTTGTTGTTACTGACGTCAGCTGATGCCACAATTGGAGGTGGAAGTAGAGAGGGACCAGAGCATTCTGAGCCCATAAAGATGTCAAAAAATAAAAATATAAGTACTGGTAAGTGATTGTCTTACTCTGCAAAGTTCAAACTGAATGTAATCAGCTATGAAAAAAAGCGTGGAAATAGAGCTGCAGAGAGACAGTTTGGACCTCCTCCCACTGAGTGTATGATCAGACAGTGGAGAAAACAGGAAGAACAATTCCTTAAGATGCCAAAAAAGAAGAAGACCTTAAGAGGAAAACCAGCAAAATGTTTAGAATATTGATTTCTTAATTTGGGGCTGGAAAAGTGGGAGGGGGGGAGCCCATCTTGAACATGGGGGGTGTCTTATACATGGAAAAATATGGCAATTTTCATGTTTGGCTTTTAAGCCCCCAAGAGCCCAAGTCCTGCCCTAGGGATTGACCTTAGATCAACTCCCCACCCCATCCCCAAACTTCAGTCCCCAATAAAATGCAGTACCGTTGTAACACTCTCCAGTATTTATTTTCTCCCTTTGCTTACCGCTAAATAGGCATACTGTATGTATTTGTACGTATGTGTTGATTGCCTCACAATAAATCCTACTATTGAGATTAAGATCTCACATAGTTTAGAAAGAAAAATCTATTTTGGTTCCCAGTTATTATTTGAATTTGCAAGAGGAACAACTTGCGTGGAGGCCTTGTTAACCTTAATCGCTCTCTCCACCCACTTGCCAATGGCAAGACTAGTTTACATCACATTTACAATGAACAGTTTCCTCCCTTATTAGTTTTAGTATGGAAAGGGTAGAGGAGACTTAAATACCAGCTTGTGTGCAGTACTAGAACCATACTCAATAGTGCTATCATTGTGGTTTGTGTTCACAGTCTATTTAGTCGTGAAACCTATTCAGACCTCAGGAGGTTATGACTTTATGATCAGTTGTGCATATAGCACTGGGCACATTGTCACACAAGTAGTGCTCAATGGTGATACTTTTTTTTTTATCATAGCTTTTCCCTTCAAAGATAGTGATTTATACGTGCAAATGTGACAAACGGTACCACCTCATGGTTGTTGACTAAAGAGCGATGGAAACATGCATGAGAGGATCTCCCTGCACTCTTCTTCTGTGTCCCTGATGCCCAACCCAGTGGCTTGTGTTCAGTAGATGCTCAGCAGATAATTGCTGAATAAGGGACTCAGCCACCCTTTCTCCTTGGTTCTTAGAGATAATAGGAGCTGCTCTCAGCCAGGTTTTCATCAGATGTGGCTTTGAATTTCAGGGATATGACACTGAATTTTTTTCTCTTTGATGATTGCACACAAATGCCATTCTCTATGGAAGCTTCTGCTTACCAGGTATTAGTGCTAGAATCACATTGCTTCTAATTGTGCCTCACTATAATTCCAAGTATATATTTACAGTGCCTCTGCCTGAGTAATTGATATTCTTTATATTAAATTTACATTTATTACTTCTTTAATTAATTAACTTACTGTTGTTCATTTTAAGCAGACAATCTCATGAGAAACTCCGAATGGACTTGTGGGTAGTAGTAAATGTATATTTTTTACTCCCAAACACACTTACTCTTGTCTTGTGTTTTAATTATTTCTGGAAATACACATTTCCTGAAAAGCCCACAAGAGAAAATAAAATAATAGTGGTTAAGAACATGAACCTGCCTAGGTTTGAATTGCAGATGGGCTACTTCCCAGCTGTGTAACCATGTGCAAATTATTACATCTCTAGCCTTTACTGTCCTCATCTGTAAAATGGGAATAATAAAAGTGTGTACCTTATAGAGTTCTAGTGAGAATTAAATGGGATAATGTAAATAATGACCTAGCCCTATTTTTCGACACATAGTTAGCACTCAATAATTGTTAGTTGAATAGGTATAAACTTTACACTACTAAGGTTGGGTGTGCAATAAATGCAGTTTTCTTCACTTCAAATATAAGTCTAATTTCTTTACTTCAAATATAAGTCTTCTGGTTGTGGTGAGGAGTGGGAAAGTTCACTTTCCCTATTGAGGTTGGTCTTACGTAGGTTTGCAGTAGGCTTTTTTGTTGCGTGCATAGATGATGCCTGTGGTTCCCTCTGGCTGAGGTCAACAATGTTTTTCTGCAAACTCTGTCCCCACCTGGCTCCTGCATAGGCTGATGACTGGTTCCCTGCGCCCTGCTGGTCCCTGTTGCTTCATTTTGAGAGGCAGCCTATAAGGACTATGGTTGTCTCCTTAGCTGACCTCCAAAGTCCCTTCCAAATAGAAGCAAGAGAAACTTCCTTGTCCTCTCTCACACCACGTGAGAGCCAAGGGGAGCTAGGGAGAGAGTCTTTGCTCTGTGTTCTATTGAAGGATGTCTGTTGCCTTCTCTGCTGCCCCTTCTGCCCCTTCTGGCATTGTGTAAGTCCTCCACCTTGAAGCATCTCAGTCAAAAAGGAGGGCAAAAAGCCGCTCAATTCTCAGCTTTGTCCTCACTCCCTAACATGTCATCCATGTCTCCCCCACCAACAGGGACAACAGGGGTGGGGAGGGACAGGGCAAGACCCATTTACATTCTCTTACCTTGTTTCTTTTTGCCTCTTCAATAACACTCTGTTCCTCCTCTCCAGCTTGAAACCCATACATCTAGTCTGATGGACAGTTTCAGGGCGATGAAAAACCGGTTTTATTAGCACTTCCTTTGGATCTGTCCCTGTTTCATATCGAGGTAGTACAAGTCAAGAATCTGGGGTGTTTTTTTTTTGTTCGTCTACAGAGAGGGGGTCAGAGGTAGAGAACAGTACTTCCTTGGGCAGATGACTCCAGATAGTCTGCCATAAATGAACACCATAGAGCTGCTATTGTATTATTATTATTAATAATTATTACACAAATCTACTGATCTAAGTGATTCTTTTACTCCCTTAAGGCAGTGGTTCCTAAGTCTTTGGACTTCACAGACAAGAATATATATTTGTTGAATTGCCAACTTTTTATCTTATCAACTAAAGAAAATTATTTTTTTTATCACCACCACTTCTATCACTTCTTTTATCCTCTCCCCTGTGGAAAGACATGAGTGAAGAGCAAAAACGCCGTCATTTTAAAGCAAGTACAGTAGCTATATGAAACCTCAGCCCATTGCCCGTAGTTTTGCTCATTCAACAGCAGGCAGTGAGAATGTCTCGCCGACCAGCACAGTCAGCCCAGCAGCGTCTGGAAGTCACTGCCTTGGGAATGTTTCAGCCCCCAGGTCTGGTTCCCTGTGGGCTGTGATTGCGAGTGCAGGGTATCAAGAACCCATGTAGAGGATAACCCAGGCCAAAGGAAACACCATGCTGAAATAGTCAAAGGAATGTTGTTGAGTTTGCCTGCATTTCTGGAAAACTGCCTCTTTTCTACTTCACTGTATGGCCTCAGAGAGTGTTTGCAGGAGAAATTGTAAAAATGCAGCAAAGCCTTATGATCTCATTTTGGATCTCCTCAGGATTTCTCATCAAGGTGCAATTAAGCAGAGAAAAATTCTGCCTTGGGGTATGATTTTAATTACTCACCGTGTTCTGACTCGACTTTCCGAGCTGCGTTTCTTTTCCATATCGCTGCCTCTGTGTGTGACAGCTCCTCGGAGCTAAGAGTAAAGCACTTGTACTGAGTGGAAAGGGGTAGGGGGACCAACACCTACTGTCGCCTTAGTGCTTCTATCTGAAAACCGAGAGGGAACCTCCTTTTCCTTTTTCCTGCCTCTGCAGCCTCAGTTTTATGACCCAGTGGAGCCGGTGGACTTCGAAGGACTTCTGATGACACACCTGAACAACCTGGATGTGGAGCTGGCCCAGGAGCTGGGAGACTTCACGGAAGACAACTTGGACGTGGTGTTCACGCCAAAGGAATGTCGGACTTTGCAGCCCTCTTTGCCGGAGGAAGGGTAAATCGTTTTCTTAAACTGTCCATGGGATTGTGACTGTCTGGCCTGTTCTTGGTAAGGGGAAAGGTGCTCTAATTTTGGACTTCTTTTAAAAATAAACTAAATTACTCAGCTCTGTTGAGATGTGCAGGATGACTACGATAACCCAAAGACCTACATGTAGACAGGTTTTGAGTTGGTTTGACCAGAGGCTTTGAAAAGTCATATGGGAGCTAAGCCAGTTAAAGTGGTGCATGGGACAAAACAGAATGCTCCATCAGAGGTGAAGAGTGCAGGATCTGGAGTCAGACTGCCTGGTGTCAGCTCAGTGACCTTGGGTGGGTCATGTGACCTCAGGAAGCCTCAGTTTCTCCATTTGTAAATATGTCAAGATTTTTCATAAATTTTTTAAACCTCCATTCAGAAGCATTTTAATTGGTTAATGACTGAATCAAGGTATAAACATAAGTTGGACCCATATTTGTTGAGCATCTACTATGTGTTGGGCAGTGGGATAAAAAGATGAATAAGGCAAATTTCCCTTCCCTTGAAGAAACTTTTGTCAAGTGGAAAAGGAATGGAGAAAGCACTGTTGAGTGAATATGTGAATAGCTGTTTAGGGCTTGAGTTTCCACAGTGGGTTAGTCTATGTGTTTATAGGTATGGGCGTTAGCTCTTGTTATCAAACAATGGAATTATATCTAAATGAAAGTTGTTACTTCTGTAGTGTAAAAAGCAATGTCTCTTTGGAGATTTTGGATGAACTTTGATTTGCATTCATTTTCAAAACAAAGTTAACATTCACATCCTCCTGGACATTTTCAACCTCCTCCTCTTCCCCAAAAAGTCCCAGAAAGAAGATCATGAAACATGGCCCCTGCCCTCATTACTCTGGGCTATTCTGATTCTAGTTTGGATTTCATTTTATTACAGTTTAAGGAAGTTGGATGACAGTGAACAGTGACACGGTATTTTTTACCCTTTGCTCTGTTGTTTAGCTAGTTCTCATTCGCATAGAGCTTACCACATGCTCAGTTCTTAATGTTTTGAAAATACTCACTTCCCACAAAATAAAAACTTCGTGATCCTTTGGAAACATTTTTCCCTAAGGACCAGTCCATCTATTCAGGTTTGACTTTAACGTAGGTAGTGTCTATTATTTTTACTCTTAGGAGAATCATTTAATTTGATTTCTTTGTGTAAAATTCACATGCTCAGTTCTTAATGTTTTGAAAATACTCACTTTCCACAAAATAAAAACTCCGTGATCCTATGGTTAATTATCTTCAAGTGAGTTAGGATCTTGGAAGAACCTGTTTAAAATATTTTAGAGGTAGGAGGATTTTTATTTCTTGAGATTTGATAGAGGAGGTAATATTTTTCTTAGCCTTATTTTTTAGTGTAATACTACCTTGTTACTGAAATTTATAGCTAACACTGTCTGTCTGATGACTTGAATACAACTGGTACTGTTTCAATCCTTGCCCCAAAGTCTTCTGTGTCATTAAAGCCCAACAAGGTACCATGGCCATCATCAGCGTAAACAGCTGATCCTGTTGAGCCCCCTGTGCCTAGCCCAGAAACTTTGTGTTGAGCAGTGATCGGTGGTCATTATAAGCCTGCACTCCAAAGGTGAGCTGCCTGGGTTCCGGCCCCTGCTCTACCACCTCCTGGGTGACTTTAAGCCAGATCCTTCTCACCTCATTTTTCTGCAAAATGAGAATAATGATAGCACCTGTCCTTTGGGGGCTGATAGAAAATTAACTGAATTACTACCTTTAAGGTGATTACATCAGTGCCTAATGCATAGTAAATGGTACTTAAGTATGAACTATCATCTGTAGGTCTTATGTGTTAGACACTCTTCTAAGCACTTCACATGCTAACTTATTTAAACTTCATCACAGCTCTCTAAAGGACATGCTCCACTATTAATATCACCAATTTAAGGTGAAGAAACTGAGGCACAGAAGGGTTGAGTGACTGGCCCAAGTTCACATAGCTGATAAGGGGTGGGGCTTAGATATAGACACGCAGAGCCCAGTGACCACGTGGCTAATGTTTAGAATACTTCACCTAATACTAACAGCAAGCCTACACAGTAAGTACTGTTCCTATCTCCTTTTTAGAAACAAGAAAATTAAAACTTGCAGTACTTGGACTTACTTATCTCTGTACTTAAGTATGAACTATCATCTGTAGGTCTTATGTGCTAGACACTCTTTTAAGCACTTCACATGCTAACTTATTTAAACTTCATCATAGCTCTCTAAAGGACACGCTCCACTATTAATATCACCAATTTAAGGTGAAGAAACTGAGGCACAGAAGGGTTGAGTGACTGGCCCAAGGTCACATAGCTGATAAGGGATGGGGCTTAGATATAGACATGCAGAGCCCAGGGACCACGTGGCTAATGTTTAGAATACTTCATCTAATACTAACAGCAAGCCTACACAGTAAGTACTGTTCCTATCTCCTTTTTACAAACAAGAAAATTAAAACTTGCAGTACTTGGACTTACTTATCTCTAATACCAAAACATTGGGGGAAATAGCAAAACAACTTTGTTGCTGTGGGAAATTAATTCTTTCTGATTTCAAGACTCTGGAGCATTTGAAGAGTATCTCTCGTGACGTGCAAGACCCACCCCAATCAATGATCACCAATCAAAGCCAGTGTCTGTCAACTTCTTTTTTTACTTTTTATTTTTTAAATTTTATTTTATTGTTTAAAGTATTACAAATAGTACGTAGTACATATGTCTCCTTTTTCCTGTCAACTTCTCAAAGCATAAGAACACTGTTCTCCATGGCTTTCAAAAAGAAAGACATGCATGTTCTAACAAGGTTACACGTGAGCAAAAACTATGCCCAAGTTACCCCTCCGAAAAAATGGTACTTACACTTATTTTTCCTTGTTTTGTATGTGATTACAGCTAGTTCTACCTGTCTTGTGTCAGAATGCCTTTAGGGATAAGTATGGTTGAACACAATTCTCTGTAACAAAGAAAACCCACAAAGCATAAAATGCCAACATATCTTTCATCAAAGTAAAAATGTTATTGCTTGAGGAATTCACTTGGAATGACTGGGTAAGGACTGCCCCAAGCATTCTCATTTGACATGGATTTGAAACCGTGCTGCTCTCTCCTTAGTTATGATAAGGCCTTGCTTTGTTGTTTTTGCACAGTAACAACATGTTTTTATTTTATTACCCATCTCATTAGGGTTGAGCTGGATCCTCATGTCAAGGACTGTGTTCAGACCTATGTTCGGGAGTGGCTAATTTTAAACCAGAAGTAAGTTCTTTTTTTTTTCTCTCTCTCTCTCGCTTTACGTATTTATTTGTTTTCTATTTTTAGCTTTTTAATTGTTTTTTTAACTCATAGATTTCTTTCAAGAGCCCTTTTAGGTTTACAGAAAAATTGGGTAGAAAGTACTGACAGTTCTCATGTATCCCCCGGCCCTGATCTCCCAATAGTTTCTCCTATTATTAGCATCTTGGGTTTAAATTTTATTTTATTTTTTAAAATTTTTTGCACATGTCCCAAAATGATCATGAATATTGATTTGGGGGTTTCAATAAATTTTAATGAATATGCAAATTTGCAAATACAAAATTCATGAGTAATGAGGATTGACTGTATCTTGTATTACTCCCCTGCTCAGACACCTGCTAAGGCTCCCTACTGCCTACTAAGTCAGATATAAACTTCATCTGCTTGCCTTTCAGGGGCTTTAATAACCTAGTCCCATTCTGTCTATTAAAACTCACTTTCCTTAAGTCCTGGAGTCATTTCCTTTCTCTGGGCCTGTCTCTCTTCCTCACTAGTCCACCTCTACCCCCTTGCTCTTGTTTCCCCTCTGGGCATGCCCTCCCTCCCCTCACCTGCCTACTAGATCAGCGGTTCTCAACCTGTGGGTGGCGACCCCTTTGGGGGTCAAATGACCCTTTCACAGGGGTCGCCTAAGACCATCGGAAAGCACATATATAATTACATATTGTTGTGATTAATGCTTTAATTCTGTTCAATTTGTAACAATGAAATTGGGGGTCACCACAATATGAGGAACTGTATTAAAGGGTCGTGGCATTAGGAAGGTTGAGAACCACTGTACTAGATCCTCCCTAAGGATTAAAGGTCAGATAAAATCTCTTTTACTTTTTGTATCTATCTCTGATAGATTTATCCTTTCTTGGATGGATCTTAAGTGTGGTACATTTCGTGCAATTGATGAGCCAATATTGATACATGAATAATAACTAAAGTCCATAGTTTACATAAGGGCTCATTTTTGTGTGTGTTGTATATTCTATGGCGTTGACAAATGAATAATGACATGTATCTGCCATTATAGACTCATACAGAATAGTCTAAAAATCCCCTGTGCTCCACTTAGTCAGCCCTCCCTAGCAACCACTTATCTTTTTATTGTCTCCATAGTCTGGCCTTGTTTCTCCATCTTTTTTTGTGGCTTGATAGCCAATTTCTTTTTTTGCTGACTAATATTGCACTACATGGATTTACAACAGCTTTTCTATTCACCTACTGAAGGAAAAAGTTACATTTCAAAAACGAAGAATAGAGTCTCTGTTTTGTTTCCATTCTGATGAATTCCTGGGATGGGGGAAGGGGGGTAAATAAATGAACTGAAACTGGGCCTGAGATTCAAAGATAACATTTAAATTAGTGACTAAGAAATAAACTGTTGCTAGCCTTTTAGTCAAAAAAGCTGCTCTCTCCTGGGTTAAACAAGTATTTTGTGACATTGTCCTGAGCTTTATGTCTCCATGCCACCGACCTGGACAGCATTCAGCAGATTGGGGGTGGGGGGGGGGTGCCCTACTAGAGAAACATCAGAGAACCTGTGGCAACAGTCCTTTTTCACCTGCAGTTTTGCCTTCTGCACTTGTGCTTTCTGCAGTTTCAGTCACCAGCAGTGAACCACTTGTCCACAAATATTAAGTGGCAAATTGCAGAAATAATTCATAAGTTTCAAGTGGCTCACCACTTTGCGCAGCATGATGAAATCTCGCAATGCCCTGCTCCAGGCCTGGATGTGAACCATCCTTTGTCCAGCGTCTCCACGCTGTATACGCTCCCCATACGTTAGTCACTTAGTCGCCACCATCTTGGTTATCAGATCAACTCATGGAAATGCTTGTGATACCCTCAGAGTAGCCTAATGCTCCGTCACCATGCCTACATCATTCACCCCCCTTCATCTCATCACGCAGGCATTATGTCATCTCACATCATCACAAGAAGGGTGAGTATAGTACAATATTAGGAGAGAGAGGGAGCACACTCACGGAACTTTTACTGTAGTATATTGTTATAATTGTTCTATTTTATTATTCGTTATTGTTAATTTAATTTATAAATTAAACTGTATCATAAGTATGTATGTATAGGAAAGAACATAGTATATATAGGGTTTGGTACTATCTGTGGTTTCAGGCATCCACTGGGGTTCTTAGAAAAAGTATGCCCCTCGGATAAGGGAGGGTGACTGACTTCAAGTTCTGATACCCTCCATTGCCTATACTTCAGTAAGAATTACTGCTCTATGGGATAAAGGATGAAAGACTTTGGGAGTTGGGTTTTATCTAGTTCCTGGAAGTGTGCCATTGAATTTGTGCTGGTGTTTTTTGAAGTCATGTCAGTATGCATAGTATTTTTAATAGCTGAAAAAGAGAAAGCTTCGCTTCTATAAAGTAATTAAGAGAAAGTTAGATGTTAATCCATCATCTGTTCTAATTGGAATTGAAAACCAAGTTTGCCAGGCAATAAAATAAGATTATGCTTTGCTGGTAATAAATAAAAGATTTCAGGACAAGTTGTTCTCAAGTTTTTATATGTTATAATTAGAGATACTTTCCAATATTAAGGTTCTGAAAAAAAATCTAAGAAATGATAAATGGAAAAGTCCATTTCACTTCATTTGGTTTTTATTTGCTGTTTAGGACATTGCACTTTTTCATTCCTGCTCATTTTATTCATGAAGTTGAATTTCATGGCAATTCCCATTGGAATATTTCTTTTCTCTATCTTGTACAAACTTAAAAGAAAAAAATGACTCTTTAGAGTGCTCACTGTAGAAATTTTAGAGATTGCTGCACAAGGAAATAAAAGGAGAAAACAAATCACTCAATTTCACTATAGACAGATAATCGTCTATAAAAATTAAATCAAATTATAATACTATTTGTTAGAATGATGGCTTCTCTGGAGCAAGAGTAAATGAACTCAAGTCATGGTTCCACCTCTTGCTAGCTGAGTGACTAAGACAAATTATTTCTTTGTACCTCAATATTCTCGTTAGGAAATAGACATTAGAATAGTACCTGCCTCATAAACTTTTGTTGTATGCAAAAAATAAAGTAACATGTAAAGCACTTAGAAGATTTTTGGCATATGGCAATTATTCCATAAATATTAGTTACTATTTATGATACTTACTACATAGCCTTACAGAATAAGATTCATTTGTTCTTGCCCAATTGACAAATTATGTATATTAGACCAATTAGTAAGATGTTATATGAAAAGGAAAAAAACAAGGGACAACTCAGTGTTGTTAAAGCTTAATTCAGTGATCCAGGGTAGATGTCACATCATAGGCACTACAGTTTAAATATTCACTAGAGGTCCAGTGCACGAATTCATGCCAGCCTGCCCCGATCAGGGCTGGCCGGGCTGGCCTCAGGGAGGGGATGCAGGAGGTTGGCCGGCCAGTCTGCCCCTGATCAGGGTAGGGGGATCGATTGGGGGCAGACCTGGCTGGGGGGAGGATCCTCGGGCGGTTGGCCAACCATGCCCCCTGGTCAAACTCCTGGACAAACTCCGGGTCGAGGGGACAATTTTCGTATTAACCTTTTATTATATAGGATGTAATAAAGTGGAATAAAGATAAGATTCAGAATATCATAAGGTTTATACTTTAGAGCTTACCTAGTTCCAATTCAACTCATCTAAAATATTCCTCTCAAGTAAAATAAGATTTTGTGAAGATTTTAGAAAAAGCACTTATATTAGCATTTCAAAGGAATGAACCCAAAACTCTATCCCATGTATTTTAATGCACCACAGAGGGAGAAACTCCCTTCCTCTAAAGAGCCATGCTTAATGAAGCCGGTTCACCTTCTATCGATATATCTTTGTCATCCATAACCATGCAGTCAAACACTGATTTAGTTAGCTCCTTTATTCCCCAATTATCTCCTTGCTGATATTACATTTCTCTGTGATATCTGGGGTTAGTCTTTTATGTTCTTGCTGTCTGTGATAATGGCTTTGAATCCCACTTAGGGGGCAAAGGAGTGAAGTTATGGCCACTTCTGTTCCCTCCCACTCTCATAATTCTATAGAGCGTTTGCCACTCAAGTTCTATAATTGAGACCCTTAAATCAGACAAATAGTACTGCCCATGAAGGGTAGAGGACATTTCAGATTTTCTTTTTAACTTAATAGAGAAAGATTAAGCTATACGGAAACATCAAATACATAATCTCTTGGGGGGTGGGGTAAATATATTTTTCTACTTGAAATGTTTGTGTTTCTTACACTGGAAGATGCCTTGAATGAATTCCACTCTATCTTTCATGGATAGAGCAAGTTTTGTGTCCTTGCTCAAAAAAAAAAAAAGTTTTTCTCTTTAGGATTTTTGAAAATCATCATTGATCGAATGATTAGAACGGTGCCCTGGTTACTTGTTTATCCCATCTTACTTTCAGATATTTTGATAATTTTGTATGGATTGATGTTTGCTGGCATCCTTTGGGTGACATTAAACACTTTAAGCATTATATCCTCTGTCATTTTCTCTAAATGAGCTAAAGTGATTAACTGAAAATGTGTTTGATGGAGGAGAGTCAAACTCTTAAGTAATTAAACTTATTTGCATCCTGTTTATTCTTGGTGTATTATCCATAGCGACAGTGAAACATTGCATGAGGGTTATGAGCAGCATCATAAAAGTCCTTATACTTTGCCTTTCATCTTAGGTGATTAAGGTTGTTTGGGAGGAAGGTCATACTCAAGGAGAGTTGGGATATCAAGGAATGGGGTATCATCTGTTTTATTATGCCATATTTTACTCCCAGTGAACTGGTAAACAATTAAAATTCAAACACATCAGTGCATATAATTCAGTTACTCCCCAAACACCATCAGAATGTCTCCCTGATCAACAATTGCTTATTATGACATGCATTTGTTGTGCTGGCTGTCAAGGTGTTTAGCTATTAGCTTTCTAAATGTGTGGAAAGCAAGCCAGGCTTGTCAGCCCATGCAGT